CCCATCGAGGTCCCAGGAGTGAATGCCGCATTGTTGGCCGGGCCAGAGTCACAGATAATTACCTCAATTAGTGACAATGGGAGAGTAATAAATACAGGCTTAGTGTCTCCTGCCGCACCAGGGCTCCGAAGATTAATCCAGGCTGACGGGCGGGCCCTGAAAGGCGTGATGGACAATTCATTAAACTCCCCAAATGCCGCACAACCTGGGCGTGAAGGCTGAGTTAGCCCCCCGGGGGCCGCGCCTTTGTCCTGATTGTGAGTCTCCGCCATGGCAGAGCCGAGCAGCCCCCGGAGAGCCGGGAGGTGAGTGGGGCTCGCTGAGCCCGGCCAGGCGGAGGGGGGATTAGGCCTCGGTCTGGCCCTGGTTGCCCTGGCACACTGGCCCGGCCTGACTGGAATGTCCGTCGGGGGTGGGGGGGAGCAGACCGAGCGGAGGGGCGGGGCCGACAAGGTGCAGTAAGGGGGGCGCACAAAACCGGGGGCAGGAGGAGTTAATTAGACGCCAGCCGAGGAGGGCGAGGGGCCACAACAGGGCTGAAGGGCCGCCAGGGACGGCCCCTTCACTTCCGAGGATTAATAGGGAAGAGGGAGAGGGGAGGGCTGCCCCTCTTGCCTAGATGGGCAGCTACTTAGCAGGTGGCTGAGCATGCCTCAGCATCCCACAGAATGGCTCTCCCTTCCAGGGAGAGGATGACGGGAAAGAGAGGGAGAGAAAGGTCTCCTCTACCGGGAAAAACAACGGGGGCAGCGTATTTAGGGGTCTTATTCTCAGCCCCTCACTTGGGCCGGTGCTAGTGCTGGATAGCAGCCTTCCCTTCCGCTGGGAGGGTGCCAGGCTGACGGCACAGCGCCCGGGCGCAGCCCAGGCTGGCGCTGATGGGCGCGCACAGGAATGGGCGCGCGTAGGCCAGTGAAGGCGGCTGCTGCCGCACACCTCAGTACGCCTGCTCAGGGAGCGAGCCAATGAGCCAACCACTTTCTTGAGGGCACAGGAAGGAGAGACAAGGCCCGGGGCTGCACACTCACGCGAAGAGCCTGGCTTGGGGGCCCCTTTCATGCTGGACTTACGGCTTGTGGCGTAGTATACCAGAGAGGCAGGGGGATCGCACTGTGAGATAAACAAATGTCCGGGACGCATGAGGGGCCAGTGGTCCAGCCACCAGGCAAAGGCAGAAATAAATGACTGTCGCAGCAGCCGGTTGGAAGCCCCGCTTCCTCCGGGCCTCAGGGACTAGGGCAGCCCTGGCTCCTCCTAGGTGCCATCCTACCCCACCCCCTCCCAGGGGATGACAGGGGAGCGAGTTGGCGGCAGTTCCCTGGGCATATTTATAACCTGCTGCTCTCTCACCAACCCAGTGTGTCTGCTTTTAGCCCAGACGGGGGAGGGGGCCTGGGGGTGGTCTGTCTCATGCTGGGCCCTGGCTGGGTGTGGAAAGAGTGAGTAAGGTTGAGTGGTGGGCAGCTCTGCGTGGGCATTCCTGCTCACACCACAGCCAAACAGCTTATTTTCTCCTCATTTTGTTATTTTTCTCCCTCGGGCCTGGAGCGGAGGGCCGAGCCGGCCTGAGGCCATAGGGAAGGGGGCTGGACCCTAAGGTATTCGCAGACCCACTGACAGGGTTTTTCCAAGGGGCGAGTGGCAGGGTGTCCCTGGAGCTGGCGTGCTGGCCCCCCGGGACGGTGCAGCCTGCCATTTCAGTCCTCTCACGTTTTCCATCACCCCCGGGATATTTCAGGACTAGTCCCTGTGGCATTTACTGAGGTCAGCTCTTCCTCCAGGGTCCCTGCTGGCCCCAGGTCCCCCGGTGAGTGTTTGTGTGGCACCTGAAGATCAGGCGTGAGTGGAAGCTGCAGGAGCGTGCCTCAGGTACATTTCCGATGACGTTAGCTTACGTCATCTTGTCGGTGTTTTGGGCCCCGGAGACTCTTTCTAGGTACTCCCCCCCATCTACTGACCTCCTGACTCCAGTTCAGAGTGAGAGCATTGCAGATAACACCAGGAACCGTGAAAAGAAAGAACTCAGCTCCTAGGTGATGCCTGCAGATTCCACAGCACCCTTGCCCCACCGCCACCAAGCGCCGGGGATCAAATCCAGGCCCTTCCACACGCTCTACCATCAAGCCACACTTCCAGCCCTTTTCCTGAAGTTTTTTCATTTTATTTGTGCATGCTCTGTTAGAGCCCAGCCTTAGTCTATATTTTCCCGTGGCATCCTTCTTCCATGTCTCAGCCCCTGGAAGAGAAGGGCATTTGCCATGCTGATGGCTTGCCCGTGCGCAGAGAGGGCCTTTCCCAGTGTGCACCTGTTATGCTGACGGTGTTTGTTGGCACGGTTGGCGCCATGGCTGGACCTCTGGCTTGCATCTCACTGCACTGCCAGCACTTGACCTATGGTAAAGGTATCAGTAAGCATCCAGGTGACCCGAGCCACCACAAACGCTATCTCATTTGAACCCCATCGCCTCCTTAAAGGACAGTGATGACTATTCTCAAAGGTCAAGGCAAAGGAGACTGAGAAAGCAAGAGATGTGTTGGATACCTAGTGAGGGACAAAAGGGGCGCCCCTGCAGGTCAGCCCAGCACCTAGTCTCCAGTCCATGGGCTTCAGTTCCCAGAGGTAGGAGCTAGCTCAGAGTGGCTGAAGGCAGCCTGGGTCCCCCATCGGGGTGCTTCTCCCTAACACTGGGCAATGGGCAGCAGTGGCCCAAGTTTACACACACAGTCTCTCTCTCTCTCTCTCTCTCTCTCTCTCACACACACACACACATGCATGCACACGTGCACACACTTGCCCTGGGACAGCCCAATAACTTCTAACTTTGAGAAAGCCGGAGAGCTAAACGTTCTCCTTGAGTCAGGATTGGCTGTTCTCAGCCGAACGATCTGCAAACCCAGGGCCCCCTCATCAGAACTGAGAAGCTGCTGGCTTTGCCAGTGGAGAGAAAGGGAAAGGAATGTCACTGCAAGGTTGAGCAAGCCTTAAATCTGCTTCCCTACCCACTCGCAGAGCCAGAGGACCACAGGGGTCAGAGTTCACAGCCTGCAGAGAGAGGTGATGGCCTGCAAAGACAGCAGAGGACTCCGGGAAGAGGAGGAAACTCAAGTTAACCAAGCACACACACGCAGTTATGGCTCTTGCAAAGGTGGGATGCTCTGCAGCTCCCATTGTCGCTTTGAGTGAAGGGGCTACGATGGACGGGCCTTAGAATTTAGGGAGGGTTAGTGTTCCCTGAGTTGGGGCTAAGGCTATGGTTGGACAAGGAAGGGAGGGAGAAAGCACTGGAGACAGATTTAGTGCTGTGAGCAGGGCTCTTATCCTACTGAGAGGTGACTGTCCGGAGGTGGCCTGCAGGCCTGTTAATAAGGAGTCCTCACTCTGGTTGGTTGTGGGAGTGGCTAGCTTGGTGATGGTTGTGGAGCCATCATTCTTGGGTTTCTTTTTGGGTGTGCCACTCTAAACCTCACCCCTGTTTGGATGCTAGTTGGTCTGCCCCTTTCTTCTTTTCTGCTAGGATCTCTAAGCTTTCTGGTCCAGGTCTAGGGCCCATGGTTTGCTGGATCTTCCTTAAGCCAAGGCTAGAGTGATGGCCTACTGCAGATTTCCAAGCCTTGTAGAAGAGCATGGAAGATGGGCCTTCCCACTGCCCAAAGTCCAGACACCAGCAAAGGAGGACAGCTACCTCAGGGCCAATGGCACCCTCTCTGCTTGGGCTTTTCAGACATGGTCACAGCCAGCATCTCATTGTAGCTATTTTCCCAACTCTTTCAGCAGGAGATATGGTTAACCCTCCTCGGGCCAACAGACGTGTTTATCCTTATTACACAACCAGCCGCTGCTAGACTAGGAGAGAGAACCCTGCAGGAAGTCCCGGATTCCCAGTGGCCTCCTTTAGGGTCATCTAAGGGTCAGGAGCTGAGGGTCCTCTTTCTGGGCCAGGAAAAGGGTTCTTCGACAATTCTGTCTCTTCAGTTTGATGAAGAGAGTAAGCACGCTGGAGGGGAAGAGGGCAGTGCAAACCACGCCGTGTTCTGGATTCAAGGACCAGAGCCATTGATAAAAATAGAGATTTTATTCCTCGGAGGAAGATACATCGGTGGGGGCGAAGAGCCACTAATAGCCGCAGTGGAAGGAAACGCTGATCTGGTGGGCAAGGGCATCCTTGAGAGACTGGGTGAAGAGAAAGGTCAGATAACAAAAAGGCCTGGAGAGCAGGACAGAGGAGGAGCAGGGCTGGAGCAAGGCCTCTGCGACCCGGGCTGGAGCCCAGCACAATAAATAGTTTATTTACAGAACCAAAACGCGTGGCTTTGTATCCACGTTTCAGTGCAAATTATTTACACACTGATGAGGAGGCAGGACAGGAAGGGGTGGGCGGTGGCTGAGGCAGGAGGCGTGGTTCACAGCTGTTCCATGGCTCCGCGACAGGGGCTAGGAGAATGGAGGGTTTTCCGCTGGCTTCCCCAACCTCATTTCCCACAGCATCACAGCCGCCCTCGCTCTCCCGCCTCGGAGACTCACACTTCAGCTACAGGTGGGAAGGGAAGGCAAGGCCCTGGTGTCCAGGCGTGCCGGCCGGAGAATGGAAGGGGCCGGTGGGGACGCCGAGAACATCAGGGGCAGGTGATGGGCAGAGAGGTCCCCGGGCGGGCGCGATGGGGAGGGGACTGCGGCACCTTCAGGAGCTGACACCCCGCCCCCTGCACAGGCCCCCTAGAGAGATCCCCCTCTCACCCCGTGGCCCAACAGGGGGCGGTGCAGCAGGGGGTCTCCCACAGACGGGGAGGGAGGTAGGTAGGGGCAGGGCCCTAAGGATGGCAAAAAAGGAGGTTCAGTGGCGCCTCAGGCCTGGGGTTTGGGGGGTCCCCAGCCGGGCCCCTGGGAACGTCGGGATTGCGGCCGGACACGCTGGGGCGGGCGAGGGCCGGGGTCTCGAAGGCCAGCGAAGCCTGGGGGGCGGGGGGGAGGGGACGGGCGAGGGCGACGGGGGCGCGGCGCCTCACAGACACTCGTGCAGCACGCGCGTGTGCGTGCAGTTGCGGCAGCTGACGTGGCAGCACCAGTGGAAGGTGCAGTTGCAGCGCTCGGTGACGCGCTGCGTGCGCGTGCGGTGGCCCCGGCCGCAGCACAGCAGCTCGCAGCCGTCCAGCGCGGGCGACGAGCTGTTGCAGGCGCGCCCGGCCGTGCCCGCGGTGCCCAGGCGCCCGCTCGACGTGCAGAAGTTGGGCGACTTCTCGAAGTACACCAGGTCGTGCGGCGACGGCGGCTTGTGCGCGGGGTCCTCGGGCTCCAGGCGCAGCAGCTCGGCCCGCGACGCGCGGTTGCTGCCCCGGTTGCCGTAGAGGACGCGGGAGGCGCCGTCGAAGCGGTCCCGCAGCACGTCGCCCACGGCGCGCAGCGTGGGCAGCCGCATCCAGCACGTGCGCACCGTGCAGGAGCCGGACATGCCGTGGCACTTGCACTCCTGGCGCATCTCGGAGAACACCGTCTGCGGGGGGGGGACGGGGCGGGGGGTGTCAGGGCGCACCCCGGAGGGAGGGCCAGGCTCCGCGCGCCGCGGGTCCGGAGTGCACGGGGGAGGGGGGGCGCTGCAGCCTCGGCCATTAACCCCTTCCGTCCCGTCACCGGCTGGGGGGGGGCTTCGCCCTCAGCCAGCACCTCTCTCTGTCCCCCCTTCGGACCCCCACTCCCTCAGGTGGCCCCTGCCCCGCGCCCCCGTCCCCCCCCCGGCCGCCCCGCCCCCCCCCCGCCGCCGCCTACCGTGCGCCCGGCCTCGTTGTTGTGCAGGTTCATGAGGAAGCGCAGGTCCCGCCCCTTCTCCCCGGAGTCCACGAACTCGCGGCCGAAGAGGCGGCCGAAGTCGATGTTGTCGCTGCAGCCCCCCCAGTGCCAGTCGGGGCCCCCGGGGCCGCGCCGCCGGTAGTCGCAGGTGCAGGACTCGATGGAGCCCTCGGAGCAGGAGCGCGCCACCGAGTGCGTGACGCCGGCCGAGGTGATGGCGAAGATGAAGGCGGTTTCCCGGCAGCCTGTGGAGGACGCGGCCCGCGCCCGTGGGGGGAAGGCGGGGGCCGGGTCAGCACCTCTCCGGAAGGCTCGCTGCCCCACAGCCCGGCGCCCCCGGGGGACCCGACGGCCGAGGCTCCGCACAGCCGTCCCCAGCCCCGTGGGAAAGCGGGCGCGCGGGGGCGGGGTCCGTGACCCTCGCCGGACCCTGCGGAGCCCGAGAGCGCGCGTGGCGGCTCCGGGAGGGCACCTGGGCCGCGCCGGTGTGGGCGGCGCCGACCCGGCCGCGCGGGGCGCGCCCTCCGGGGAGCGGCTTCCCGGCTCCCTCGAGGCAGGCGGGGAGGGGGGAGCCGTGGCCGGCGCCCACCGCCCGGGGTTCCCCTCCGCGGGTCGGGGGCTCCGGGGAGGAGGATCGCGCTCAGGGTGCGGGGCTGGGAGGAGCCCGGGGCCGCCCCGCGGGAGCGCGGGGCCGCGGGGCCGAACCCGCGCCGTCTGGGCCGCCGCCCCTGCCCTCGCCCGCCCCTGCCCCGGCGCTGACCCTGCGCCGCCCCTCGTCCCGGAAGCGGCGCTTTCCCGGGCACCCACCTCGGTTGACGATCTTGCCGAAGAGGTGGGGCCCCGGCGCCGTGGGGCAGTTCCAGCGGCGGTTGCGGAACTGCCACTTGCACTCGCGCACGGCGCTCTGCAGGCCGCCGCTCACGCTGTGCAGGACGCCCGGGTTCTGGCGGATCAGCCGCCGCTGCTTCCGGCTCAGCAGCTGCAGGCTGGGCTCCAGCACCAGCTGCAGGCTCTTGGAGTCCGTCAGCAGGTTCGTGGAGGAGGCTATGTTCACGATGCCCCTGGTGGGAAGGCGGGCGGGCTCGCTCTGAGACGGGCCTGCCGCACCTTCACCGCGACGCCCCCTCCCTGGCCTCGCCTGGGCCTGCCCGTGCGCCTAGACGGAGCAGCAGAGCATCGGTAACAGCTCCGGGCCCTGAAGTCGGGTGGAAGTGAGCTCTGGTGGGCGGACAGAAAGGGCGCCTGGGTCCACGCGTGACTGTCTGGGCTCCTCCATTCTCCGTCAGGTGGGCCCGGGAGGAAAGCTCAGCCTGCAGCCTTGCCCACCTCGAAATACTCGGAAGCCCCACCCTTTCTCACCGCTGAGAGCTGCTTCTTTGGTTCAAGGCCTGAGGGTACCTGAGTACTCGCTACTGAGATGCTGGACCTGGTGCCCAGTGGCAAAGGGCTGGGCTTCCGCCTGCGGGTGGCTCGCTCCGCTCGAGCAAGATGGCTTGGTTCTAGGTGAGAACTAGAACGCGCCCTGAGTGTGCCGAAGTCACAGTGCGGGAGGGAGGCTGTGGGTCGGTGACCCCCACAGCGTGGGAGCTGGGTAGGGCCGGGCCCCTGGCTCTGCGCCCCGGGGCAAGTGGCGACCCCGGACCGGCTCACTTACCACCATCGGCCGCTGCTGTTGGCAGCCAGGGCTGCGGGCAGAGCGCTCAGTGCCAGCAGGAACGTAGCAGAAACGCAGCCGGGCAGCAGCGCGCAGAGCCCCATGGCCCGCCCGGCCTCGCCGCTTCGCTGCTGTAGATCTGGCGGCTCCGGGTGCTGCGCGCGACGGCGGGGCCGGCCGCGGCGGAGAGGGCAGGGGTGAGAGCGGCGGTGAGGGCCGTGCCGAGGGTTCTCAGGCTCAGGCTGGCTCTAGGAACTCTGGAGGCGGGCCGCAGGCAGCATGGTCCTGCCGTCCTGGCTGGCGGCTGAGGCGGCCGCTGCGGGAGGCACCGCCTCTTATAGCTGCGGCTGCTGACTGCAGTGACAAGAGGCTGCCCCTCCGGCCCGCACTGGGGCACCGGGCGGGCGCACTGGTCAGCGCCACAGACAATGAGCAGCCAGCGGAGCTGGAACTCGGGCCGCTCTGAGCTGACGGGGCTAGCCGTCGGGGCTCACCCCCGCCCCCTGCCCGGTGGCCCCCGCCTCCAGGTCTGCACTGGCCGCCGACCCCTCCCCTTGGGGTGGCCTCCCACGCGCGCGCGCCGGCCTCACTCTTCTGCCGGTCAGGAGCCCGTCGGGGACCAGCATCCGCCAGGGGGCGCGGAGACAATGTGCTAGGGACAACCTGTTTGCAGCCTGGATTGCCACCCCACGCGCGGTGGGGCTGTCCTGTAAATGTCAGCCCTCCCCCCGACACACACGCACATACACAAGCTGTGGTCCCTTCTCTTCCCTGTCCTGAATGGCCGGATGAAAGCTGTGGTTCTGGCCAGCAACTCCGTGGAGACGCTTCCTTATCCAGGAACCCCGACGGCTGGACAGAGAAGGAAAAGAAGGAGACAAGAGCCTGGGTGGAGCTGTGGTTAGGGATTCCCGGGCGTGGGGTGCAGGGGGGGGCTGGTGGCGGAGAGGACCTCAGAGCGCGCAGCAGTTTGTGAATGTGGGCTAGGAGAGCGCCAGCGACGGTGTGTCAAGATGAGGTCTTTGAAACTGCATTGTGTTCTGCGGATGCACGCTCCTGTGTACTGGTGGATCCAGAAACTTCTAAAGGAGGACGTTCTGAGCCTTTTCCAAACAATTGTGTCATTTGGCTCAGGACGGGGAGCTCATGAAGTCATTTTTGCTACAGTCACAGCTTAAAGCAGTGTATCAGGGAGGAGGTGGAAGCTATGAAGCCCGCCTGCAGAATGGAGAGGGTCTGGAAGGGTATCTGCAGGTGGGTGGATGAGTGTGTGTGGGGGGGATTAGCCATGTGCAGGCGTGTGTCATTCTGTCGCTCTGGGTACCCTGTGTTAGCCTGTGGTATGTGTCAACCTGTGCATGTCCTTAGTGGGGGCGGGTCTTGAAGCTGAGCCATGCCTGTTTCTCTGGCAACGAGCTCAGAAAGGATGGGACCGAGTAGTAGGTAGCTCCGAGGACTAGGAACAAAGGATGTTTGCTGGGGAAAAAGGACCTCCCTTCGGCAGGCTTGTTCTGTTTGGGTTGTTGCTGCTGCTGCTTCTACCTAACATAGAATTTTAGTATGTAGAACTCACGGCGGTCACCTGACTGCTGGCATTACAGGCCTGTGCCACCCACCATGCTGCCCAGCTCAGGATGAACAAGTCTGGGCATCTACAGAGATGGCTCAGTGGTTAAGAGCACTGGCTGCTCTTCCAGAGGCCCCGGCTCTGTTCTCAGCACCCACATGGTGGCTCACAGCCACCTGTAACTCCAGTTCCAGGGAATCGGGTGCTGTCTGAACCTCACTGGCACCAAGCGTACCCAGCTGCACATACATACATGCAGGCAAAACTCTCACACATGCAAAAAAATAACTCCTTTTTTAGAAGATTAAAAAAATAACAAGCCAGGTGCAGTGGCGCACGCCTGATTCCAGCCCTCAGGGAGACAGACAGGTGGATCTCTGTGAGTTTGAGTCCAGCCTGGCCTACAAAGCAAGACCAGGACAGCCAAGGCTACACAGAGATACCCTGCCTTGAAAAACAAAAAACCAAACATACAATACAACCAAAACAAACAAACAAACAAACAAATTTGTGCCTCCATTGTTTCCTGCTTCTCATTGGAGTTTTCTCCGAGTTTCGGCGGTACCCTGCAAGCCCTTCTGCCCCCTCCTCTTACCCTAGTGCCTGCAACTCTTCCTCTGTACGGTCCTCTTCTCCCGAGACTCCAGCTATCTTCAGGACCATGGCAGCCTTGGACTGCCGCACTGCCGTTCCCTGTGTGGAACACAGGGGGCACTGGCAGCTTGGCTATCACGCACCTCGACCACCCTGAGAGCCCCCATCCTAGCATCTCTCCTCTCTTCCATTTTACAGAGGAAACGATTGGTGACCTACTGTAATTCCAGGTTCCAGGTCCCAGCTAATAAACTGATGCTGAAGCTATATCCCCAGGGAATGGCGTGGAGTGTTTGCCTAGCACGCACAAAGCTGGTTTGGGGTTCCCAGTACTGCAAAAACCAGGAATGGTGGCATATGGCTGTGACTCAGGAGCCAGGAAGATCAGAAGTTCAGGGTTACCGTCCACCTCCCGGCATTCTGGAAGCAGTCTCAACAAACAAATGCAGGACGCGTGTTGGTGGACATCTTTAATCCCAGCCCTTGGGTGGGAGAGGCAGGTGAATCTTTGTAAGTTCGAACCCAGCCTGATCTACATAGCGAGTCCAGGAGACCCAAGGCTACACAGAGAAACCCTGTCTCAAAAAAACCAAGGGATGTCAGCTGAGCTTGGTGGCTCACGCCTGTGATCTCAGCACTCAGTGTGCAGAGGCAGGTAGATCTCTGTGAGTTCAAGGCCAGCCTGGTCTACAAAGTGAGTCTAAGACAGCCAAGGCTACACAGAGAAACCCTGTCTCAAAAAAATCAAAGAGAGAGAGGACTGCTCATTGCTACAGATGTGAGACAACTCTGAGATATCCCAACTGAAGATCCCATCTGAAACAACAAATTAATAATTAACAACACCACAATAAATCCAAGACCAACTCTGCATGGTGGCACATACCTGCCAGTCTCAGAACTTGGGAGGCAGGCGGAGGCAGGAGGATTAAACACCCCTGGGGAGGCCAGGCCTGCCTGGCCTGCCTTCTATCCAGCACTTAGGAGTTAAAGGCAGGTAGGTCATCTCTGTGAATCTGAGGCTAGCCCGGTCTACGGCCTACATAGTGAGTTCTAGCACACCAGCATGAGGTACATAGTAAAATCCTATCTCAAAACCGAAACTCTTTCGATTTTGAGGGGGGAGATAGTAAGGGAGTCTTTTGTTTGGTTGGTTTGTTGGTTGGTTGGTTTTCTGAGACAGTTTCTCTGTGTAGCCCTGGCTATCCTGGAACTTGCTCTGTAGAGCAGGTTGGCCTGACTCAGAGATCCACCTGCCTCTGCCTCCTGAGTGCTGGGATTAATGGTGTTCACCGCTGCCACCAGGCTTAATTTTTGTTGTGCGTGTGAGTGTTTTGTCTGTGCGTATGCGTATGTGCCACGTGCATGCAGTACCTGCAGCGGCCAGAAGAGGGCTTCAGATTCCCTGGGACCGGAGATTCAGGTGGCTGTGAGCCACTGTGTGTGTGCTGGGAATCAAGCCCCGCTCCTTTGCAAGCGCTCTTAAATGCTGAGAGGTCTTTCTAGCCTCTGTTTGGTTTTGTTGTTTGCTTGTTTGTGGAGATAAGGTCTTTTGTATCCTAGACTGGCCTCAAATTCAAGATAGAGTCTTAGCTGGCTTTGAACTTCTGGTCTCCCTGCTTCCACCTCTCCAGTGGAGATTAGAGGCATGAACCCAGACCTGACACCTCACAGCCTATGCACGTCCTTTTCACATGACCAGAGCCTCCCTGGCTTGCCAGTGTGCAGCAGAGCCGGATGGAGTTCCTTTTCAGAATTAACATATAAAGAAAATGATTTGGGGGTTTTGCCTTTTTGGGGGGAGAGGAGGGGAACCTCTGGTTTCCATCTCTTCCGCAAGTACGCTTCCTGAGTAAATTACCCAGGTCTGACCCTAAAGAGCTTGACTCCCAGGATAGATCAGGCTTTCCCACTAAGGTGTCAATCAAAAGAAATGACTGATACATTCCGTAACTGCTCCTGAGGCACTTGTGTTTAATTTAAAATTTTAATTACATATATTGTGTGTGCATGAGAGAGAGAGAGAGAGAGAGAGAGAGAGAGAGCACAGTCAGAGGACAACTTGCAAGAATTGATTCTCCTCTTCCGTTATATATGTCCCAGGGATGGAACTCAGGTCATTAAACTAGGTGGCAAGTTCCTTTACTGACTGAGTCATCTCACTAGATGTGAATGAGTTTAAAATAAGATATACATTAACCCAATAGAGGTTTTTTTTTTTTTTTTTTTTTTTTTTTTTTTAATATCCTTCCCAGGCCTTTTCTTGGCCTAGAATACCTGCTTCCTCCAAGGATCGTTCCCGAGGTATAAAGTGGAACAGTCAGTCCAGCACCCTACGCTGGTCCACATGCCAGGAATTTCTGCAAATAGTGTCTGCATAGATGGCTCAAGGGAATGAGCAATAGACATAGGTAACCTGACTTTGTCCCTGAGAACATTCTCAGCGCTGAGGCCTGGGTCACACGCACCTTTCCTGAGCTGGCCTATTGGTGTAATTCTGTGGGCGTGGAATACTGGCTGGAAACCATATCACCTATGACCTTCAGTGCTAAAGGGGGAAGATGGAAGAGAGAACCAACATCACAAACCTGTTCTCGACCTCCATGTGCTCACCGTGATGCACACTCAACACCCCTCACGCTAATAATAAATGAAATAAGAATTAGGAGTAAGATGAAAGATTAAAAAGTGTGCAAGGCAGAGAGAAACAGGAAGACCCCCCCCTTGACCTTTGGCTTTTGCATGTGCACGCATGTGTTTGTGTGCATGCAAACACACACAGAGAGAGAAGATTTACCAAGCATATGTGAATGAGGCCCTAAGCCTGACCATGGGTGTGCTGAAAACAAAGAAAAGTTAGAGCCAGGTGTACTGCCACACCTGTAATCCTGCCGTTGGAGAAGAGCCGGGAGGAGCTCAACGTCATATTTAACTACATATTGA